CTTGCTGTTAAGTGTATCCCCAAGTATTTAACTTTCTTAACTATTTGAAGATCTGTTTTTTATGACAGTTGATTTTTTTTGTTTATCTGTAAGGTTTTTGGTTATCACTTTGGTCTTTTCTCTATTTATTTTCAGTCCTGCCACTTCTCTAAATTCTATCTTTTTCAGAAGTTTGAGGCTTGTCAGAAGCGGCTCTTCTAATATAAAAACCAAGTCATCCATGAATGCTTGTAGTTTGTATTTTTCATCTTTTATCTCCATTCCTTTGATTTCTGAATTTTGCTTAATATTTCTATTCAATACTTCTAGTGTTAATATAAATAATACTGGGGATAATGGACATCCTTGTCTTGTCCCTTTTTAAAAAATTAAAATTTGTCTGTAAAATCTCCATTTACAATTACTTTAGCTATTTGTCTATGATACTTTTCTTAAATTATATTTATAAAGTTTTCTCCAAAGTCTATTTCATTTATTTGTTGAATCATAAATTGCCAATTTATGTTATCAAAAGCCTTCTGTGCATCTAGGAATATTAGTGCCATCTGCTTCCCTGGGTGCATTTTATAGTATTCCAAAGTATCTAAAATCATTCTTAAATTATTTTTTATTTGTCTCTTAGGTAAAAATCCATTTTGGTCTGTATGTATATATTCAATCAAAATATCTTTAATCTTTCTGCTATTATTGAAGCAAAAATGTTATAGTTCACATTTAATAGGGATATTGGTCTATAATTCTTTATCTGTGTCAAGTCTGAATCTTCTTTGGGTATTAAAGTAACGTTGGCTTCTATCCAAATATTTGGTATTTTAACCTCTAAGAGTACCTCATTGCACAGTTCTTTCATTAATGGGCTTAATGTATCTTGTAGGCATATATAGAAAACTCTGCGGGTAGCCCATCTGAACTGGGGTCTTATCATTTTTTTGCCTTTTTGTGGCTTCCGTTACCTCCATCACTAATATTTTTTCATTTAGCATGTTTTGGATATTCTCTGAAATTTTTGGTAAGTCAGCTTTTTTTTGTATTGCTTTATTATTTCTTGAGAAGTTTCTTCTGTGTCATAAAATGTCTGATAAAAGTCTTTGATTATTTTTTTAATTATGTCATTTTGGAGTTGTAAATTGTCTTTTGAATTTTGCAATTTGTTTATCAATTTTTTCTCTCTTTCTTTTTTCAGTTTTCAGCTAACCACCTATCTGGTTTATTAGCTTTTTCAAAGAATTTTTTTTTTTGCCCTTTTAATTTGTTGGATCATTTTTTTCAGCCTCTGCTAAATTTAATTTATGTTTTATTATTTCCATTTACTTTTTAAGAGTTTTCTTTTGTGGATCTCTTTGTTGTTCAGATTCCAATTTTATAAATTCCTCCTTTAACTTTGTTTGTTGTTGCTTTTTTCCTTTATTCTTTTTCTCCATGTAAGTTATAGCCAGACCTCGACGTCAAAACCAAAAGTCAAGCCCTGAGTTTCTTTGTTGTTATTTGTATCTATATTCTCAACAATTAATATGTGCATTTGACAGGGAAATCCACAGACTTTTCATTAAATATTCATCTTTTCAGTAATGATTAATAGTGAAAGTATTCACATCAGAAGTTAAGCCATAATCAGAAAAAACTTTGTTAGCTTCTAGAACATGGGAGTGGAAAGAGACAAGCTCTTAGAGAGTTCAAAGTAACTTGTTTCATTATTAGTCTTCGTTGAACAGAGATGATGGGGAAAGGTTAGCATAAGGCCATCAGCTGATACACCAGTTGACAGGTTTTATTTAAGGCTTCTCATATTGGACTGGCATATGTGACACATGTTCTACCTTAATTGGACTGTCATATGTGACACATGTTCTACCTTAAGCTAGTTATTTTTGTAGGGGAGCAAAAGGCAGTGATTTATTTTTCAACTTCATACCTGTATGAAACAATTTAAGTTGGATGCAATTCAATGTATACATATGAGCAACAAAGTATTGGTGGAGGAAGGAGCAGAGACATGTCCTTGCTGTCTTTATACAACATTCTCCTGTATATTGTGAAAAAAGTGATTGGTATTATAATTATTTTAAATAAACTATTTTGTTCTTTCATCATCAAAGCTCTTTCATCATCAAACAGCTTTATGTCTTAACGGACTCAATGATTAGACCATTCACACATAAAAACAGGAATGTACAGTATATTCCAAACTCAAATTATTCCAAATATTCAAAACAAATTGTCTGGTGTTCCAGAGCTCAATGCAAAACTGGGTGTTTAAGTTGTCAACCCCACTAGAGGGACCAGATTAGGAAATCAACTCCACAGGAAGGCTAAAACTACTTTTGTTGAGATTGGCTACAATAACAGAATCTTGAAAGTTTGTGGTGTATCTCTTCCTCCTTTTCTACTTATAGTTCACAAATGAATCTGTGCCCAAGTCACTGCCCAATATTACTTCATTGTTCTAGACTTTAAAAAATTGGTTTAGCCCATTTTGCCTAAATGATGAATGATTCCTCTATATTTCTGTCAAAATAATCTTCCATCACAATTTCCCTTTCTTTACAAAGGACAGTGTTAGTACCTCTAAATGTTGGTGTCCTAGGCCAGTGCTACTCATCCTTAACCTAAAGAACCTATTTATATCTATACCTCTTATGTTAGGCATTTAAATACATTTTTCTGATGTGTTTAGTATCCATAGGTTTCATTAACCTCTCAAAGGGGTCCATTTAACAAAAAAGTCAAGAACCCCTTCTTTGCTGAATATCCAAATGATTTCTTCATCCACAAAATTGGTGGTGAATTTTGAAATCCCATTCCTTCTGAATTATACTGCATTTATGTGAATTTCTCATTCAGGGGAGGCCTGATATATCTATTCAAATGAAAATTCAAATGAAAGGATTTGTGTTAAGTCAGATCATAGGTTGCATTTGCTTCCACAATAGTCATCGAGATACTTAGGGGTAATTCATAAGCGACACATGAGTGCAAATTCTTCCAGCCATGTCTCCTAGTAATATTATCAAGTATACTGCTGCCATTACTGGAGATCAGATACATAGAGATACATAGGCATATATAAAATCCATCACAATGCCTTTATCACTATAAATTTTAAAGGTAACCACAAGGAAGGAAGGAAGGAAGGAAGGAAGGAAGGAAGGAAGGAAGGAAGGAAGGAAGGAAGGAAGGAAGGAAGGAAGGAAGGAAGGAAGGAAGAGAGGGAGGGAGGGAGGGAGGGAGGGGAGAGAGAGAGAGAGAGAAAGAGAGAGAGAAAGAAGAAAGAAAAAGAGAAAGAAAGAAAGAAAGAAAGAAAGAAAGAAAGAAAGAAAGAAAGAAAGAAAGAAAGAAAGAAAGAAAGAAAGAAAGAAAGAAAGGCCTTCTGTCCAATGTGTTGTTTGGAAATGCATCCATCAGCTCAGGAAAGATATGTCTGTAGAACTGAATTTCCTCCAAAAAACAAATTATTTTCTTTGTGATGATTTTTCTATATTTCTTAAGATGTAGTTAGCATTTTGTAACAGTGAAGACACTGTTAAACAACTTTTCAAGTTGAAGTGAATCATATCTATAAGATCATCTGGTCCACATATTTGAACATTCTCACAGAACTCTAGAAGGCTAATCAAACAGGGCTTATCATTACAAAAGTCTATTGATTCTTCTTTAGCACAGTTAGCCCTTTATGCTTCATAATCTTGTATTAAATAATGTACAAGGATTAATGTTGATTAATTGTGAATTCCCATGGATTAAAAGATTGCAGTTCCTTAGTTCCTCTGTAAAGCGCATTTTAAAGAAACTCTTATATTGTCCATTTCCCAATCATGGTCAATCTTACAGACATGCTATTTGTTAGAAGATAAGCAATTTCACATTTTGGCTATTTAGAACTCTCTGATGGGTACAATCTGGACCTGGTGGTTTGTTTGTTCTCATTTTGTCAATTACAATGTCACTACTATTTCCATCAACTCCTGAGATACCAGCTGTAGTGATGATATCTGTGCTATATTTTTTTTTGAAGTGAAGATAGATGCAAATAATTCATTCAGCTTCTCTAATATTGCTATCTATTTTCCACCAAGACTTGAATTCCCTTGTCTTCCAGCAGCCCAAGCTGGTTTCTGGTTTCTTGTGCAAAGATTTTTATTTTTATGTATTTATTTTGTGTTGTGGGCACCATGCTGCTGAATATCTTTTTTTAAAAAAAAAATTTCCCAGCTTGGATGATGAAGATGTCAACAATTACATTTGTATCCAAGCCTTATGCTTACCACAATAAAGCAAAATACAAAATGTAATATACAGTAATTAAAATTAGTATCATTCACATCTTTTAACAGTTAAAGGCTTCGTGAAAGAAAAATATTTTTAAAAAAACTAAGATAATTGAAGCAAAGACACTGGGGAAGACAATCCATAGCTTGTGTTCTATCATTAAGAAGGCCCTATCTACCAGATAGTTCAGCTTCTTTCAACTGCAGCAACTTCAATGAGACCCTCCTAACAATCTTACTATTACACAGATTTATGGTGGATTTCTTTAGTGCTAGTATGCTTTGTTTCTCTAGGAGGCTGCCAGGAAGAAGCAGAATCACACACACACACACACAGAGAGAGAGAGAGAGAGAGAGAGAGAGAGAGAGAGAGAGATCTGTACCCTTATGGAACCCTATGACTCCACATAGTTTTAAGGCAGTGTTTCTCACAGCTGGCTGTGGAATTCTGGGAGTTGAAGTCCACATGCCTTAAAATTGTCAAGGTTGAGCAACACTGGCTTAAGGGAAAGCCAATAGAAGCTTTTTATTTATCCGACTTGTTCAGACAATGTCATAGTAGGCCAGTAGAAGGCTCTGTGCTACAAGCAAAAAAGGCCATTATCATCTGGTTTATCTTCTGTTTGTCTGGTGAACAACCTGGCTATTAATCTGCCTACACAACTGCCTTCAGACACAATAGCAAAGTGATTAGAAAAGGATGCTACAATAAATTAACTATATTACTGTAAAGCTATGAGCATAACATCTGTGATGTTTCTTTGCCCGGCAAGAATTTTTCTAATCTGTGCAATCATAAGCTTCGCAAATTTCCACTGCTCCAGGTAAGTCAATATTGTTTTTCAGACAACTATTAGAACAGAGACATGATAGATAATGGTATTTAGTGTGACTTTCTGCGATTTTTAATGTTTTTTTTTCCCTAGTAGTTGAGGCATTCATTTTGGAGTTACCTATGGCTTAACAAAAGAAACCCACTATATTGAAATTATTGGGTTGCAAAGTGGCATGGATCTTAACAAATGTGTTACCTATGGGACACCGAAATCTGTGAAATCACTTGTCAGTAAAATATTATATCAAAATGGATTCGGTAGTACATTAACAAGATAGATTTAAATTTCAAGTCTCACACTTAAACACAAATAAAAATTTGGATGTTGTATTTAGCATGCTTTTATATTCTGTCTTGTCATACTGATGCCTCTAATATGTGCCAGAATTTATATTTATTTTGTCCTAGTTTTCAAACAATTATCATTCCAATAATTTTATAAGTGCCTTTTTTTCTTGAAAACTAAAACTCCTACAAATTACCATAGCAGGTTAAAGTATTTAATGTACTGTATATGTATTGAAATATATATAACTTCTTTCAATAGCTTGATTATAAAGCCAGCACTTAAGAGAAATTTGATCATTGTAATATGAAATTAATATGGCCATAAATAGCATCTATGGTAAATGGTTTAGGCAGCTGAGCCATGAATTTCTCTTCCTTTCTGTATATTCCTGTTTCCATTTTTCTCTCCCCAAAACAGACACTTAACATACTGTTATCAACTGGATATTTTCTATTCTCAGAGGTTTCTTTTTTGGGCAAGCAGTCTTTATGTCTTTCTTTGTTTTTCTGATAGTTGTGGTTATGTGGCTTCCTTATGACATTAATAGTTCCCTTCTGGAGCTGCATTCATGATTCCAGTCAAGCTGCAAATGTGTATATAACACAGAGCAACCGATAGAGGAGTCAGCTATGGAAAAATGGTGGCGTATGCATTGTCATTCAGTTGTTATAAGCAATGATAGGAAAATGAAGAACTGTTAGATCACTGACTTTCTGTTGCTGCAAAAAAAGGGCTGTCGTGAATAACGGCAGCTACCATTTCCTCAGCCATGCAAAACAAAAAAAGCATGTCGATCTGCTGATTTATGGAGGGCTTGAATCAGGACTTGGTGTGTAGTGTGGCTTCTGAAGAATTCAGAATTCAGAGTCTTAACAATATCAAAATCTCCAAAGAGACATGCTCTCCTGTTCTTTCTGGCTGGATCCTGGAACTCTTCGACTGAACCATCAGAAAACACAATTGCCATTTTATTCCAAAGAACACAAATCAGAGTCCAAGCAGAAGAAAACTTGAGACACGTTCCTCACAACTCACCATAAATCCTTACGAACAGGAATGGCCAGCCTATAAGTCACATATACTTCTTAGGTCCATTTGAGTGCCACCTCTCAGCCCAACTCGCACCGTTAATATTTTACAGGAAAAATGCTAATCTTTTGTGACACCCTCATTTTTTGTTAAAATGGCAATGAAAATAACTATTAAGTTTCTAGTGTGCTTAACACAACTATTTCCCCCAGGTTCTCCCAAATCAGATATCATTATGTTAATATTGGTTTAGAGTTGGCTCTAGATGAGATGGGTGGCACGTAAATATAATAAATAAATGATAAAATATTTCCAGCATTCTTTGTTTCAAAAAGATCCTTGTATTTCCTTAGAAAAAGCCCATAGCAATATTTAAAAAGAGAATGAGAGACAAGAATTGGACAGAGACATTAGAAAACACCAACCAAACACCATGAACGCCAACTAGCAATCAGAAGACACGATGAAAACTCTTTAATTTCATAACACAGGGACAGATTCAACTATCATTTCAACTGGGAAACTGTGAGCATCCTAGACTAAGTCAAGTCCAAAACCTCCAGAGAATTCCTAGAGGTCTGGCGTTCAGACAAATCAACCGTCAACAGGCACATAGAAATAAACTGTAGGAGATGCCCAGGCCGAGCCTGAGGGAGGGGTCAAACACATCATCAGTCATGACTCCCTTCATACCCACAAGAGATCTAAATCAAGCCACCTTGAATTCCTTCTATTCTTAACTCCCGCTAATTTCCCTTGACCGTCAGTAATTCAGATTCTTGTAGAGATCTTAAGTTTAGAATAAATCTTTATACACGTTTGAACTGCCTGGATCTCCTGATTTCCCTGGTGCTTGACATAAACAACATCTACATTCCACTCAAAGAGACAATCAAAAAACCTAAAAGGAACAAAAAGAGCAAAGCACCTCCTCACCAGTAATCAACATCCAGATGAGCAGAAATTTACAAAAAGATTATCACAAGATTAACACTACATCTAATCAAGAAGTAAATAATACCCCAATCAAGGAACTACCAATTCCGACAAACAAGCTAACAGCCTAATCAAGGAACCACCAAAAACACTCCCACTAACACTGACAAAGCAAATCCCATTCCCTTCTAGATTGATGATGTTACCTAGTTTGGTAATGAAACATCTGCAAGAAAACCACTGAGCTTAGAGAGCACCAAGGAGCCCATACTATGTAAAAGAGGAAGAGCAGAACTGGGCAGGGCTTTAGTGAGATTTTCTCAATCATCAAATCTTATTGAGCTATAAAACAGGACCACCACTTAATCCAGGATCCTGATTTTGTTTCAGTTCCAAAAGAAACCTTTGCCTCTTTTTCCTTCTATTCCGAATGAACAGTTTTCTCTGTGTATCAGTAAAATTCAAGAGCAACCAAAATAATTATAATATTATCAAGGCAGGAAGATAAGGATGATCCTGATGATCAATATCATGATCATAATGTATAGTTGGAGTGTTGGACCAGGATTAGAAAAACCCAAGTTCACCTTCATTATGGGCCACAAAAGTTTGTTAGATGGCTTTGGGCTAGTCACTGTCTCTCAGCTCAACCTATTTCACAGGGTTGTTCTATAGAAAAGGGGAAGAACTCTGTATTGACTGAGTTCCTGGAGAGAAATATTTTTAAGTGTCTGTGACTCTTATTTGAAGAACTTACGTCCATTTTGTGCAGATAGAGTTTTTCTGTACCTTCAGTAAACAATGCTATTACCTCTTCAAGGCAGGAGATAATAACAGAATCTTGAGTGCCTGACATATATTCCCTCTCTTTTCTCTAATATCAAGAAAATTGAGGTGGGTTAATCTTTACTTTCTTCATCATCCCCTTCTTCTTTCTAGAGCTAAGAAGAACAGCTACTGCATAATTTCTTCAAGGCCATCTCTGTATTCTTCTACGTATGTGGAGCTGGGTTTTGAGCCAGCATTTCTGCATCTCCATATTGTATATTCAGGAAAGTTCCTACCATGTGTAACATGCAGAAGATGAGTTAAACAATGAATAAACCCCAGTTGAGCCATGCTTAGGTGATGTCACAATTGTTCGGCCAGTGGCTGGTTATGACGTCATTTGTCGGCCGTGACCAGGGGGGC